ATGTATGTCTCAAATTTACCTTGTTGGGTAAAGCTGGATCAGCATTTGCCTTCAGCAAAAGTTCAACTGTTTTTGGATCCCCACCCATGACAGCAGCATGAAGAGCTGTAGAACCGTTCTAGATTGCATGATAAAACACACACAGTCACAATCGCACCACTTTTTGGACGTCAGATGATGCTGTCGTACCTTCAGAAGGCCGAGTGAAGGGGAGAACTTGAGGAGCTCCTCGATGACGTTACAGTGGCCTTTATGTGCGCGTGGACAAATTGCACAATTATTGTGTGTGTGTGTGTGTGTGTGTGTGATATATATATTGATACACACACACACACACACACACAAAATAAATAATAATTTAAATAAAAATTTAAACAAAGAAATCATTTTGCAAGTTGTCCATGTAAATTAATATTAATGCAATTTATATATGTAATTTATATAAATGTATATTTAATAAGTGCAGCCTTGAACAGAGCCGTGGAGCCGTCCTTCAGCCAGAAACATGAGAGACTCACGCACCGAGATAATAGAATAAATGAGGCATTTGTCAAACATTTCATGCATTTTTAATAAGCTTCTTTTCTACCTGGCTGAAGAGTTTGATTCAAGCCAGGGTAGAATACGAAGAGATAAGAGGAACAGAATAGAAAAAAAAAAAAAAAAAAGAAGAGAAAAGAAAAGAAACTGGAATTAAATAATTAATAAACAACAATTAATTAAATAATCAAACAGTAATAAAATAAAATTACATTTAAAATAACTAAACATGAAAATAATAAAATGAAATAAAGTAAAATAAAATATCTGGGTAAAAATATGAAGCTATTGGAAATTGAAAAAAAATAAAAAATTAATTTTTTAAACATACTTTTCTATCTGCATCACGGTCTGCGCCTCGTAGCAGCAGAACTTTTACCACCTCGCTTTGTCCCATCTGGGCTGCCATCCAGAGCGGAGCTGTGCCATCCTGACCCAAAAAAACAGAATCAACATGGAGAACAAAAATACATAACAGCAAACCAAACACTACTAACCAAAACCAAACTACAATGCACAAGCCATGAATATAAAGCAGACCTCTCGGGGTTGATTGACTTTAGCCCCAGATGACAAAAGCTGCCGTATTACAGTCACATGACCCTCTTGGGATGCCAAAAATAAGGCCGTTGCACCATCCTGAAACACAGAGGAGATGGTCAAATGTAATGATCAAATGACATATGAAAATGGTATTTAGAGAATATATATATATATATATATAATAAGTGATCTTTCATACATAAAATAACATTACATTAAATTACATTACATTTAAAAATTGATAAACAAATAAATTAATAAATATAATATTTATTCTGAATCAATTAATAAACATAATAAAATCTAATCAAATAAAATAGAAATCAGACAAAATAAAAACCAACCAAATAAATAAGTATTACATTAGACTGAAATAATGCTATAATAAAGAAAAACTAAAATAAATTAATAAATGTAAAAAAAAAAACATCTAATTAAATAAAAAATAATAAAGAATAAAATAAACTTAAAAATTACATTAGATTAAAATAACATTACATTCAATCAAAAATTAAGAATGCATTCAAAATAAATGAATAAATATAATTAATACTATAGAAAATTGAATTAAAAATAAAATGAATGAATAAATAATACATTTAAATACATATATTAGATTAAAAGATTATAAACCAAATTAAACATTTAATTAAAAATAAATGAATACATAATAACTGTAAAAATAATAAAACATAAATAAACAAACAAATAAATATTAGATTAAAGTAACATTATATTAAATCAAAATTAAATGATAAATAAATAAATACATATTACATTAATTACAAATTATTAAACAAATATTTCCACCTAATTATTTGAAAATATTTGGTGTCTCCCAAAGACATGTTTTAATTTAAACTGTGTCTTATCCCGTTCCTAAGAGCAGAGTCTAAACACTGAATCAGCAGAAACCTTAGAGGAACTGGCACAAACATGCATCAGGCTTTTAGAGAGCAAGAGGGAGGAACACGTGTTGACTAACATTGAGCTGGTCGTGGACATTGGCGCCGTTCTTCAGAAGGGTCTCCACCACTTTGGAGTGACCGTGCTGACAGGCTGCGGAGAGCGCCGTGCCGCCATCCTGGAGATCACAAACCAGTCAGTTCTGAATGATCAGATTTATATGATTCTTTTATTTTGGGCTAAAACATACCGCACCTTTGTCCGAAACTCTGTGGATGCTCCAAATTCAAACAGGAGCTTGACAATTTCATTATGGCCCTGCTGTGAAGCAAAGAAGAGGGCGGTGGAACCAGTCTGGAGGAACAGAGACATCATCTGCATCATCATCAGTCCACAAACACACTTCAGCTCTTACACACCCTTAAGAGGAGCAATATTAGCACGTACTACTGCACTATTAACAGCCTGTCACCCTAGCTATATATATTTAGCTCAGACAGAAATAACTTTCACCGCTGCTTATTGCTAGGTGGATGTCAACAGAAATGCTAGTGAGGAAAATAAAATATAAAAAGGCCAAACAAAACAAACAAACAGACAGACAGACAGATATAGATAAATAATACATTAAATTAAAAATAATAGGAAATAATAAAAGAAAATAATAGAAAAATAATTAATGCATGTAATAAAAAAACATTAAATAAAATAAATAATAGAACAAAATAAAAAAAAGAAACTAACAAATAAATGAATGTTGAATGAATAAATGAATTCATATTAGATTAAAATAACATTATGATAAATAAAAAATTAATTAAGAAATATAAAAAACATCTAATTAAATAAAATAAATAAAATAAATAAACAATAATAAATAAAATAAACTAAAATCATTGAACTAGATTAAAATAACTTAACATTAAATAAAACCAAATTAATTACAAATTAATTAAAAATAAAAGCATAAATATAATATGAATGCTTAAATACAAAAATCTAATTAATTATATTAAATCATATATTTGATCATAAATATAATAATTTAAAAAGTGCATAAATATAAAGTATAAATAAAAAATCGAATTAAATATATAAATAATATATTTTATTATAAATATAATAAAAATCGAATTGAATTAAATAAAAATAAAACAAAATGAAGGAATAAAAAAATAATAAATGTAATAAAATAAATAAATATATTAGATTAAAATAACATTATATTAAATAAAATACAATTAAAACAAATTAATAATTATAATAATAACAAAATCAAATTACAATCAAAAATACAATCAAAACAAACATAATCAATTCAATTACAATTAAAAAACCATCTCATCAAAATACCAATATAAGCATGATCCAGACACAAGAGCATCCGTACCTCTCTTTGCAGATTAATATCTGCACCTTGCATGATGAGTTCCCGGACAGACTCATAATGGCCGCTGTATGAAGCCACCATCAATGCTGTGGTGCCATACTGCGAAAACACACAGAACGCATTGTTATACGCCGTACAATCACTCGAACAGTGAAGCATGCAGGAAAGAAGAAGCTCATACTCCATCTTTGCAGTCGGCATCCACTCGGCCGCTGTTCAACAACAGCTGAAGCAAGGCCAAGTTTCCTTTCCTCGCTGCCCAAAACACAGCGTTGGCAAGCGGCGTCTCCTTCTGTCAGACACATAAACAAAACACACCAACACAGACAATCATCATTTCTATGACAGATCACACTATTACCTCGTGTGGACATTAACATGCAGTTTATATTACCATATTTTCGAAAGACTGCTGAATCGATATCAGCATAAATCTTCTTAGTCAACAGGGTCAAAATGAGCAAAGTAATATTGCTTAAAGGGGTCATATGATGCTATTTTAAAGATCATTATTTTGTGTATTTGGTGTAACAGAATATGTTGACATGCTTTAATGTTCAAAAAACACATTATTTTTCAAATACTGTACATTATTGTAGGTCCTCTATGCCCCGCCTCTCTCAAACGCTTAGTTTTCTACAAAGCCCCCTCCTTTGACAAGCGCAGTCTGCTCTGATTGGCCAACTAACCCAGTGCATTGTGATTGGCCGAACACCACAAGCACACGTCGTAAATGTAACGCCCCTTACCATAATCACGAGCTTCATCTTTCAAAATAAATGTAAAGACAGAGCCCGAAAGGGGAACAGAGTC